CATGCTGCCCCCATCGCCACCTCCTTCCGTCAGCCTTCCCTCCTCCCGTGCTGCTCACCTTTGACCCGACGCCAGCCCACCCCAAACAACCCCCACCGCCCTTGCAACCCCTCCCGCTGACGGCAGCCCCGTAGCCACGTTAAGATCCCCATGCCGTCGAACCCGTTGTCGATGTCGCCGTCCAGCTCCACAAGTCAACCGTCGATCCGCTACGCGCGTTGTCGAACAATAAACAACAAGAAATGGTGTCGCCGTCTCGTCCGCAGGTCCCTTGGCCTCACAGGCAAAATCCCGCTCTCCCTGTTTCGTAGTTTGAAAATTTATATTTATTATTGCATAGTTCAATTATGACATATTTATCTGCGTGAGTTATTTGGTGAATGATATTGATTTAAATCATAGTTGTGTGATAAATAGTATTTATATTTATCTGCGTGAGTTATTTGGTGAATGATATTGATTTAAATCATAGTTGTGTGATAAATAGTATTTTCAGAATAATGATAATGAAGTGAAAGAATTGATTTAAATCATAGTTGTGTGATAAATAGTATTTTCAGAATAATGATAATGAAGTGAAAGAATTTATTTTCATAATGAAATCATTTTAGAGAATTTATAATTTTAAAAGAATTGTTTTTTTGAGAAAAAGAATTATTTTAGAACAATAATTGATGAGAAATAATTTTAAAGAATTAATTCTGAAAAAGAGAATATTTTGGGTTATTATAATGAGAAATAATTTTAAAAGAAATTATTTAGAAAGGGAATTATTTTCTGAATTACATAGTTACTGTTTATGATCACATTTCACGTTTTGCATTTATTTAATGTATGTGACATGTCTGCTATGTATTGTCCATGTTGTGTTTGAGAACCCTTAGTAGTTCATGACTTAGTGGCATCGTGCATCATGAAAAAACTTAGTGACATGTGTGAGTATGTTGACTGAGTTTAGGTGGTGAACCCGAGTTTTAATGAGGAATTATGGTTGACTTAGAAAAACGAGAAGAGTTGGGATATGGAAGTTAATGTTCATGTGATCGGATGTGGTTATTGATGTATCTTTCAGACTCGCACCAGTGACCTGTTTCGTCCTGTGGTTGGTTTGTTGGACAAAGTGGCCTGTTTTGTCACTTTGATCCATGACCTGTTTCGTCACCTGAGCTTTGCCTGAGGTCGGACCAGGCCGAGATCGGATTGCGTGTAGTCCTCTAGCTGCCTGTTTCGCGGGATTGGATGCACGTAGGGGATTTGTGAACAGTCAGTTATCCGATGATATGAGTGTTAACTCTGTGTGAGATGTGACCAGTGACCTGTTATAGAATGACTAGTTATATGACCTTGTTACTTAAGGTGATTATGAATTCTTGTGAGATGTAGGCTAGTTGTGTTTCTTTTCATACATAGATCGGGATTAATATTTAATAATTTACAATTCAAGACATATGGTATATACATGAGGGTTTCTATGTTTGGATTATTTCGCTCGACGTACTACGTCTCGAGTTATAGATTTTTAAGTATTAATTCCATCTAGTTGTATGACCAGGTTACTTGGATGATTCCTCTGATCGCTTGCCGCATGATTGATTTGTTACTTGGTTGATTTTGTTGGATTTTCAGTTGCACGTTTCTTTATTATTCTGTTGTTGTATCATTTTCGCATTGGTTTTTTGTTCATTCTTTTCTTTTGTGGGGTCTTGTCGTGTGCCATGCACGCTGATGTATACCTGTTTTCTCTGGTGTACGTCACACTTAGAGGAAGAACAGGTTCAGCAAGAGCCAGAGGATTCTCAGTAAGAGCGCCTCGCAGACGTAGCAGAAGAAGAAGCCGAAGCTTAGTCATTCCTTTCAGTTTGTTTTTATTCCTGCTTGATCGATGTATTTTGTATCTCTTCAGTATTCATTGTTCAGTTTTGTATAAGGGTACGTTTGACCCGTATTATTATGTCTTGGATGATATTCATTTGTGATATGTATCATTTTGTTCTGTGTTGTTTATTATATTCTTGTTATCTGTGATCGAGGACCTGTGCCTTTGCATTGTATTTATTTCCAGATGCTTAGCGTATTGGATTGAGAAGAAAAGAAAAGAAAAAAAATGGTAGTGCATATTTCTTCTCAATCTAATACGTTGCGGGCTTGTTCACGTTTCGATTCCCCTGTATTTTGGGAAGCGGGGCGTGACAGGTTTTTTTGGTAGCCCATGCAGGTCATGGTCCCGAGTTCCTAACAGTGAGAATTTGATGGACAATTTATATACATATCATATTTCATCCGTGAGACTAATCTTGAGCCCTTATCCTACTTCTTGAAAGATTTCGTTTCATCCCTATCTTATCACTCTTTGACTCCGGAGTTTTTCCACGGTCCTTGTCCTATCACTTCGCGATTACCCTCTCTTTGTATAACCTCTCTTTCCCGTACTGGTCATTATTTTATGCATTATTATTTTTACAACTATGTTTTCTTTGATTTGACTTATATATCGTTTAATTATATTGATTTCTGTATTATTTACTATATTATTTTATGTATCATACCCAGTGTTATATTGTGTGTTTTTCATTAAAAATATATACTATTACTTATATATTTTTAATTATTAAAGTCATATCATTAAGTGTTTTGCATTGCTCTAGGCTTCACACACACATTACATAGCATATCTGATATTCTCTAGGCTTCACACACACATTACATAGCATATCTGATATTCAGATTATTTTCTTGTGTTTAAAATATACTTTTGCATATTTATATTCATATCTGATATTCAGATTATTTTCTTGTGTTTAAAATATACTTTTGCATATTTATATTGTGTATGTGTGAGCTTATCTGTCATACCACCTGTTATTTACTTATGTTTTAGATTATTGTATATTGTTTGTATTTTTAGTAATATACTTTAATAGGTTCATGAATTTAATATTCTACATATGCACTATATTCCTATCGTTTACATTTTCAGTATATAGTATTATCAGTAAGTTTTGTCTTGTTAGATTATTTTAGTATGTTTGCATTGGTTTTGTTATTTTAAAGATCCATGTATTTTGATTTTGATATTTAAGCAATTATTCATATTGTTAAGTTTAGAGTTGAGTTACTAATTATATAGTTATTTTGTTATATTAATTATTATCCTTTTATAAATAATATAAAAGATTATTCTAAATAGTATTTATGAGTATGTAAAGTACTTATTCATGGTTTGTTATAGTGTATTTGTATATTTGTTGTTTGTTTGCTTTATTTTCGATATGTATTGTTTTGACATTGTACCAATATACGTTATATACGCATGTTATTTTTTTACTTATTTTATAGTATTTTAGATATTTATGTCTTTTATTGTGTCATTGTTTGTTGTTCAGTCTCTATTCATTATTTTCGTTACTTGTGTTGTGTTTACCTTATCATTATTTTTATATTTACTATTCTATTTTCATTTTGGTGTATTCACGTAGATTATTCTATTTACAATGTATACTTTTTATTGATTTATAGTCATTCATTATTTCTAGTATCACTATGTAACCATGTTTATCTAAAATATATCGATGTATTTATTATACGAATTATGCTCTTATTATGTTTTCATTTGCTTATATACATATTTTACCTTTCATAGTTTTTATTTTTATATATTATACTTCTTTATCTAGTAATATGTTTGTGAGTGTCAGTATTATTAGTAAACAATTATGTTTCAGTGTATTCTACGATTTTTATATGTGTTAATTTCTTTTGAGTTTATACTGTCAAATTGTTTGTTACTTATTTGAATGCATCAAGTCCTTCAATTATGTTTTTCTTTGTCAGATTGATATTTTTTATTATTTTGACTTGTGTTATTTTACATCGTGTTACTCTTCTATTTCGTTTCTCTTATTCTTGTATTTTTTCGTAGATCATATTATATCAACATCATTTTATTCTTATATTTTTTTTAAATAAGAGTTGTTATTTTCAGTGGGAGTGTGTGATGTTATGGCTTTATAGTTTGTGTATAGGGTTATTAAAGGTTGTTACAATGTGTGTGTTTGTTTAGCTTTGATTTTTGGTTTTTACATATTATATTATGGTTACGTATTTAGTCGAAATATTTTTGTAGTTAGTGAGTTTTATATTTTATGCAGTGTCTACTACATATTTGCTCTAACGCAATGGTTTAAAACCGTCGCATTAGCATCTAAACCGTTGCAGTTGCACAAGCACAGCTGTTAGCAAACTGTCTTCATTGCTGCCATTGCCCTAGCCATAAGGCAGCGGTTTCACAACCTAACGCAACGGTTTCTAAGATGAGGCTAACGCAACGGTTTTCACAAAATGCAACATTTTCTGTAGCGGTTTACTGATGCCTAATGTAGCGGTTCCATACACAAAGGCAACAGTTATTACAAATGCAACAGGTTTCAACAATAGTTTCTTGATACCTAATGTCGCGGTTTCGTACACAAGGGCAGCGATTTTTTCAAAATCAATGACCAAAGGCAACAGTTGTTTTCTAGCTAATGCGATGTTTTGCTTTGCTATGACAATAGTTTTATAAGGCTACGACAACAGTTTTATAGGGCTATATTAGTTCTTTTTAAGAAATTTGACCAATAAGCAAAAACAGTTACGTAAACCAAAATAAAAATGGAATAAGAACACACTACATTAAGATATCATCAAAATGAAAAATAATGAAGCATTCATATGTTTTAAGCCAATCATTCAAAAAACAAGTACTTACAAGATAACTTCAACCCATCAAAATATGATTAATTCACAAGTACAAGTCTGTTCCAAAAGATTCATATATCAAAGCCATCTTGACCGCATTCTCCTATTTAAGTCTTTATATCCCCTGTAAAAAATAAAGAAACGTATCAAATATCATGTTAGCTAGGTTTGTTGACTCCCTGATAATAAAAGAGAATTAACTTATTGGTGATGTTTAATTTCGGTGATGTGCTAATCATCATGCATGGACATAAATATAGCTAACCGAGGTTCCAGCTATAAATCTTATTGGTGTGCATCTAGATATTCTAAATCATGTTGTTCAGTTGTGAGATACCTTTCGACTCAAGCAGTCACTATATATGAGATCTTTCCATCATTCTAGACTAAGTTGCATTGGATGACTTGCGTCAACTGATCATATCTACATAATATATAGTACATGTTGTTAACTCATTATTCAGACATGATTGCCCTGAGGCTCTAATAAATACAGGATTAGAAGTTTCCATGATCTTCACAATGAAGACAAACAAGAGGAAAGGGGAACAATTGTCTACTATATTTAATTGATTATCACATCATGTATTTTCTATCCAATTGACCATTTTTTCCTGTTCTACAGAAACTATTGAAGTGCAGAAAATCAGTCTATCTGAGTTTAATAGAAATGTATGAAAGTGAAGTATCAGTTTTCATTTTATTTTTCAATATAGACAGAAGGCAGAAAGCATCAAGTATGAAAGTGAAGTTTGAGACCAATGCTCGCATAGGAATTGTGTGGGATGTTTCTTTTTTTCATCATGCATTTGGCCAGAGGAGGTCTAAGAGAATTATTTATTGTGACCAAAACCCTTAAAGCCACGTATATTAAGTGCAAGGTAACCTGCCTAGTATATTGTCCAACTAAATCTATCGCAAAGTAGAACCCAGACTATCTTAAAGTCATAAAATCACTTCTTCCTTGCAATTTTCACAAACAACGTTAGAAGAAAATATAAATGTAGTGAGAACCTCACCTCGAATAAAAACATCAAATGAGTTGCTATATGTTGGGTCATCATAACATGGCATGGTGTAGAATGGTCGTACAACCAATGGATAACGATGAAGTATATAAAACTCAGTGTTATACCTGTAGCAACAAGCAATTAAGTATTAGATTAAGCAATAAACAACAGCTGTCATACTGCCAAAATAGTAATGGATGATTACAACTGAAAACATTCACTTACACAAGGGTGTCATGCATTTAAGAATGTAATGAAATCAAAGAAAGCAAATACCTCTCCTTTTCCAAAAATAAGCCCAGAAGTCCAGATAACATTTTCCCCAATCTCTTGTAAAGCAGGAAATATGACATCCTTTTGTTTCTTCAACCAACACTAAAGTCAAGCAAGCAATCAGAGTTCAGGTATTTTACAGTTCATGTATTTTACAGTTCATGTATTTTACAGTAAGTTGAGATGTCACAATCTGGTGCAATCATAACCCAATCAATTTTAAAAAAAGCTCAAGGTACATGCCTTTAACTCTTGTATGTTTGTAAAGAACATGCACTATCATGATCTAGAACACTAGCAGCCTCTTCAGGAAGTCTAGTACGTGCTTTAAACCTCTCAACAAAGCTTGGACTAACCGGACATCCAGTTACTTCACTCAACATCTCTGCAAATGTATGAATCATACTTGTAGCTTGAGCTTCTTGTTGTTTATTCATCTCCTCTTGTTGAGTGGCCACCACCTTCTTTGTTATTGCTTGAACAATTGACTCAGGTATTTGATCACATGGATCAATGGTTTTCTCCTTATTGCTTTGTAGCATGTTTTGAGTGATCGCCCGTCCCCGGAGACGCACACGTCCAGGATGTTCTTTTTTATTGACAAGATGCCATGCATCTACATCTTCTCCTTCAGTTTGTTATTCTTGAGTTAGTTGTTCAAATGTATCAATCATTTCAAGTATTTTTTCTGGTTGTGCTTTTTTCTTCTTTTTACTAGTCTCTAGAAATACTTATGCATCTGTTGGAGGCCGGTTCAATTGCTTTTCCTACAACAAAACAACACATCAATCATTTAGCCATTCATTGCATGTCTAAATCATTTAGCTATTATTAATACATAATTACACTGTAAATCATAGATAAACATCATGATTATCATATCTCTGTGAATTCTTGCGAAACTTTTTGAACCCGCTGTGTGCAAGAGCGTTTGACTGTTTCGACTTTCCTTATTCTTTTCACTTGCTTTCTACATAATCAAAGAACTTCTAATAAGTAAATTGCAATAACTAAATTGAAACAAGAGAAACTATAGTACTTAGTTAATACATTTAAGATTAACACAAGCAACACTAAACATATAATATAAAAGAATACTTCTACATCTGCAAGTCCAGGTTGATTATGTTAATACAATTTTAGGATATGCTACGCACCTTTTTTTTGGTTATGTCCTCAATCAACAACAATCAGTGAACCTCAGATATCAAACCATAATTCACACGTTGGTTTTGAATTTCCCAAATCTTTTAACTTTGGAGTTATTTGAAGGTACAGATATATTATTAGCAAAACAATGATGAATGCTGATATGATGCAGAAAAGAGTAAGCCATCACTCTTAAAAAAACATGTGAAACAGCAAAGGTATGCTGGAAATACCATTTTATGAAGCAGGAGTGTGAAACAGCAAGAACAACAATATGTTCAAAAGAAACAAAACAATTTTATTAATAGAAAATTAAATTCTTACCCTTGCATTTTGAGAATGCCAAATCTTTAGTAAAGCTCTAAATTGACCCTTGGGAACAGCCTTAGGGCGCTTTTTCCATCTTTCTCCATCATTTTTCAAACCAGTAAAGCATTAACGTTTCAGCAAGCACTTCCACTGCCTCCATACACTATTAATTGTTTGCAAGGTCCATTTTCGTCTTGAATCGGCAATTGAATACTTCTCCTACAATGACATAACAATATACAAGTTAAAATCTACCTTGTCATTACACAAAATGATTTTTTTGTGCTATATCATACCTTCACATATTCCCACAAACTATCTTTGTCTTCTTTCCTAATGTCGTGCCAATTCTTATCTAGTGGTGTTCGTCTTGGATTTCTTCCAAGGGTACCCAAAAAACTACTAAGTTCATTTAAAATATTATCTGTCGGTCCAATAGGTACCCCAAATTTGTCTAAAATTACAACCGAACTTGCCTCTATGCCTCATTCATGTACTTTTAAACACTTAGTTGGCCCTCTATGATTTTTGGGTTGTTGTACCTCTCTTTGTTCATCTTCCCTTATCTCTTCATCTTCGTCTTCGTCAACCTCTCTCTGTTCATCTTCTCTTATCTCCTCATCTACATTGACCTCTCTCTCTCTCTCTTCATCTTCCCTTATCACCTCATCGTCAGACTCTATAAAATCTTCCTCATAATCTTCATTTTCTGATTCAATATTCTCCAACTCTTTCTCTTTCTCCATCAATTTGTTCTTATCAAGTTTCTGAGGATCTTTCTGTGCCTTTCCTGGTCGAGTCTTCATTTGCATATGATTCTTTCCAAGATATTTTGTCTTTTGCCTTTGCTCCTCTTGGACCTTATGTCCCTGTAATGATTTAGTCTTTGTCAATTGCACATCTACACTATGAACTTGCTTTCGCAACTTGCTTGTAATGTGTTGTTGGCTATGAGACTGTGATTTCTGTTTTATTTTCATCATTGGTACATTGCTTGTAACGTGTAGAGGAGGATAAAAGATATTTTTACGCTTCTTTGCAAGAGGTTTGCTCATGACCTACAAAATAAGAAATGCAAGAACTTTAAACGGATTGTATTAAGTTGAAGGATTATAATACAATATAGAGTTTGTAATGTCAGGATATAAAATGCTACATGAGAACTAATATAGGATTTTTAAAAGAATTTACCTCAAATGATCTCTTCTCTTTTGAACTTGATCTAGAATCACCCACTGTTTCCATCACTCAAAAAGAAGTGATAACTAGTAATAAATGAAAAGAATCACATAAGTACTAGATACACGAAAAAAAGATAATAAAAACTAGGTAAGAGAAGTGAAAACTAGGCATTTGTACAGTGATCCAAGAGTTATTCTTCCCTAGGTGCACAGTTTTTGTGGATAGGGTCTCATGGTTAGTTTTCTCCAATGTTAACTTTTACACTAGCTACTTCCCTATCCTACAAATAGAAAGATTATCATTTTCCGAAGTCTATTCTTGGAAAATAAGTAAATAGAGCTCGATAATAGTTTAATAAATGATATAAGTCTGGGTTTATAAGTTTGAGGTCATATCCTACTATAATATTGAGATCAGTATACTTTTGAAAACAACATCTTCGATGAAGGAAACTACTTTTACAAGTGAAAGATATGCAGGTGAATGTATCTGATCAGTTATGGTTACTTGGTCCCTCAAAAACTGAAGATCGACAACTAGAACTTATTCAAGGGAATACTCAAAAACTGAAGATCGGCAACTAAAAAATGTCTCAACTATATCCATGAGATTTATCATTCATCATCATCTTCTCTTACCAAGAAAAACACATATTATTGAAACAACCTAATGAAGGGTTTAAAACAGTATTTATGTGAATGAAAGGATAGGCACACTTCTGAGGAACCACCTACACATTTTATATAGGTGCTAAACAAAGCGCTACATAAAGGCTTAAAATACCTTCTTCACAATTCCCAAGTCCTCAGTGATAACCTGTATGTAAAACTCCAAAAATTTTATAATAAATATATGTGAATTATTAATAGTGAATAATTCTCTTATGAGGAATAATCATGTGTATATATATATATATATATATATATCAGATATGTATATTTATCAGTGTTTGGGAACCCAGCAGGTGTTTACAAGTGAGAGAAACCGAGTGTGAAGGCCAGCAGGTGAAATGCCTAGCAGCAGGCATTTTGTGCTGCGCGGTCGACCGACATAGTAAATATTTTCCTTGTGATGAAAAATAATATATATACACATATATATGTCATATGAATGTAATTATCTGTGTTTGAGAACCCAACAAGTGATTTTAAGTGAGAGAAATCGAGTGTTATGGCCAGCGTGTGAAATGCCCAGCAGCAGGCATTTTTGTGCGTGGCGGTCGACCGACGCGGTCGACCGCACAGCAGTCAGAGAGCTTCCAGGTTTCGTTTTTCTTTGCGGTATTATTTCGGGTCTTTTGGGTTTCGGGTCGGGTTGTGAGTGGATATATATGCTACTGTTCACGAGAGAGAGCCTCTGGGAGTTCTGAAATCAAAACCCTAGCCCCCTCTCTCTTCCCTTAAACCCTAATCTTCTCTATTGGTGATTTGGGAGCAGTTCTTGAGGATTTGCAGCAGCTCTTAGTGAGATCCAGCGAAGGAAAGCATCCTCCTTCAGTTTCAGCGATCTGTTGCTCACCAAAGGCGAGTATCATCTCGCCCAATCCCTCACCCCTGTTCTATATGATTTTCTTTTGGATTTTCATGAGTTTTGTTGAGCCAAAAAACGTATTTTTGTATAAAGATGGATTCTTTATAATATGGACTCTAAGTCTCAAACGTTTCAGTTTATAAAATCTCACAGATGCTCTGTTTATTTAAGATGTAGATCTGAAAATTTCCTAAACAAGAGTTATATCATTTTTACAGTCATTTAGGACGTTTTTTTTTTGTTTGTTTCTTATGGATTTAAAACAATGAAAAGGTAGTTCCCAGACTTTGGATTCGTCGTTTATCTTCAGTATTTTTCCTTTGAATCATTAAAACCCTTGTTAGCGTAGAATAACAAATTTTTGTTCCAGGTTTTGAGCTGACAGAAACCCAGATTTGGGTTTCTGTCCGCTTGGTTTGATTGTGAATTGATATAGGTAGATTTCACTATGTATCCCAGTGATATTTTCACCATTTCACAGTCCTCGTGTTGGACTATAATACATAGAAGTCCTCGTGTTGGACTATAATCCATAGAAGTCCTCGTGTTGGACTATAATCCATAGAAGTCCTCGTGTTGGACTATAATCCATAGAAGTCCTCGTGTTGGACTATAATCCATAGAAGTCCTCGTGTTGGACTATAATCCATAGAAGTCCTCGTGTTGGACTATAATCCATAGAAGTCCTCGTGTTGGACTATAAATTCATTCCAGACCTCGTGTTGGACATTTGACACTTATTTTATGAGTTTGGAAACTACGACATGATGTTGATATGGCACTTATGTAAATAATAACATGATATTCATGTTAGCTATGGTATGGCACTGTATATTGTTCTGAGATTAGCTGTATTTCTTGATTTCTTGTTTCTATACTAGAACCTCGGGTTTGGTGTTTAGAGATTTACAATTTGAGATACAAGGTATATACATGAGGGTTTCCTTGTTTGGATTATTTCGCTCGATGTACCTATGCTCGTGTTGTAAATTTCTAAATACTAAAACCCTCTTTAGTAGGATCAATGATTTTAGATCTATTATATATATTATCTGTATTTTCTTATACAACGAGCCCTTTTCCCTTGGGGTTGGTTGTGATGTTACTCGCTAGCGCTTTGACGCTCGTTGTCCCTCCCCCTTTCAGGTCACGAGCCAGGAGCACGAAGAGCCGCAAGTTGATAGCGGACCACATTAGTGTTCAGTTTTACTTTCTAGCTATGTATTATTTTCTTTGGGCTCCACTGTAGTGAGGTTAGACATTTGAGGGTATTATTCTAGAAGTTGTAAAGGCTGTGAGCCTTATCTCCTTATCGTCAGATATTTGTATTTGAGACTTGTTGAGTATTTCAGTTTATCTACTCAGATCTTGACTATGTATTTCTGTATTGTTGGATGATGAAATATTTATGTGACTATTATCATTTCATCAGTATTCCTTGTATTATCTCTTACCTGTTTTGTACCTACACCAGTTGTTGATTCTACTAGATAGATGTTAATTGTGATGGTGAAACATGTTATTGCACGGTGTGGTGCATAGCAGGTTTGACATTCTTGGTTTCACCTTGGACTGCAGCTTTGTGTGAACCCAGGGGCGTCACACTGTAAGATCCAACAAACAGGTTGACGCACGGGTTCCGAAAGACATATATCAGAGTAAAGGGAAAATAAACAGCATATGGGTAATATTAGAATAATACTATAAATGCTGATTAATAACATGCATAAGAGCTCATTGTCCTTTTGATACAAACTGAAATTTACCTTTTTCTTTTCCAATGTAAAAGTATTGCATCACAATGATGTTTGCACAAGAACTGTAAGCATGGCGTTTAGGCCAACAAGTACAAATGTCAGAGAAAATGTTTAGTCCATATGTTTTCTGGTCAGCAATAACTTATTAAGTACTAATGGCCACCAACATATCGGTTTAGTACATATGTTTTACAGCAGTGGCAACAAGAGCTTATCCTATTCTTGGTGATCTCTGAACATCCACATAATCCAACAAATTTTATCCCGGGGATTAACTAACTTAAGAAAAGCCTTGTCCACTAACTGACATGTAGGATAAACTCAACTAACTAATATGTAGGATCAATCAAAATGTATGCAGAAACAATATTTAACATGTGTATTTAATATGACATGCATCAGTCAAATGACTACATAAATACCAATATTTAACATGTTGTGTATTTAATATAACATGCATCAGTCAAATGACAAACCAAATAGAACATTTTCATAACAGCATAAAATAAGACAAATTAAGGAGTATCCTCCGTCCAATCCCAATCTGATTCATTTTGATCTCCACTTTCTGATTCATCTTGATCTCCACCTTCTGATTCTTCTTCATTTTCATCTTCTAGCTCCTCCATGTT